ACACACACACACACATATATATATAAAAGAAACTTTGCAAAATTTGACCCATTTTGTCACATAACAGATATTTTCTTTGAATTTGGCTCAGACAAAGTGAAACAGGAAGTGACATCAAAGGGGAACTATTTCAGAAAGAAAGCTCCCATTTGTTTATTGACACAATAATATGAGAACTGATTCTTCTTTGTTTCTCTTTAGTGACTCCAAATAATCTAAACAAAAAACATCCAATTTTTCTCTAGTCAGTGTTGTTAGCCATTTTAGCAATGCTCTGTTAATATTCAGACATTCCCCTTCGACATCACTTCCTGTTACCACAAATGTGAAAATATCAACAACTGTTCATCTCAAAAATGTGAGAAAAACATTTGTAATGTTATTCGCGTTATCTTACCAAAAATGCATTTGTATTTATTACAAAAAGTTGATGTCAGTAGCTGCGTTTTCATGGCAAATATGCCCAAAACTTTGTCGATATTCTGTTAATGTCGAAAAAACACAGTTTCGCAATTGCGATGTTTCCATTAAATGCAATTAAAGTCACGCGTGAATACATTTGTTCTTGCGATAAGTCATTGCAAACATGGCGGCAACAGATGTAAACACATGCATAATTGCTACATGACACTAGAGCTCATCATCAGAGGAGAAGTCGGCGTCGTATCCAGGCTTTCGAGTGACAAGCCCCTTATACTTGGGAGCGRCTACGTATGCTGCGTTTTTGGGAAATTGTAGTCGGTGAGTTTACTACATTCTTTTACAACTTCTTTGATTTTACTACTACTTCTTCTTCCTTTTGTCTTCTTCGTCGTCGTCTTTTTCGCCAGTAGAAACAGCCGGTTGTTGATCACGTGACTCCCGGGATGCGAAAAAAGTGTTTCCATTGCAGTTTTGCGAAACACACCAATTTCAATATGGCCGAAAAACCACCTCATCCTAGCGCAGTAATATTTTGTCGAAAAAAGGAAGTTTTGTCTAAACTGACGTGTTTCATTGAGCAAATTTATTTTCGAAATTCTAATTTGCCCATTTTCATGGTCAATGGAAACACAGCCTACAGGCATTTTAATTTAAAAATGATTATAGGTTGAAAAGCACAATTTCATCAAACAGCCTTATGCAAAGCCTATATATACA